ATACTTGCATTGTGATTCCATTGTATAATATAATTTTCTTTTTACAAAATCATGTGACAATGGATATGGGATACACGTGCGAAGCACGTACCCAAAGACTAGTTTATTTATAAAGAGAGATTTTTTTTTGCGTTTCTTGACTAATTACACGGGGTACTTGCTACCTCCCACCAATACAATATCAGTACCGGGTAATTCTATCCATTAGGAGTTGGACAGAAGGGAAGAAGTCACCTAGTGTTTTTGGGGTTCCCTTTGGGATTTGAACTTGAGACCTCATTGTTCTCAATCCACTTCATTGACTAACTAGGCTACACCCTTGGGTGCTGCAAAAAAATTAATAGTTTGTCAAACTATTCCATTGATCTTGATATAAATATGTTAGTGGATTTTTAATTTTGTAAATTATATAAATAGAACATATGGATCCATATTATCTATCACTCAGTACGTTTTTTTCTGTAAATACGCTTGGGACAGATATTTTATATGTTTTTGCCTAACTTGTTTTAACCCACCCATATCTGATCTTGACCATCCCATTTTCCAGCACTAGGTATAACTCAAGAACAAGTTCTTAGAACATTCAAATGAGTTATTTAATCAATTTTATTGGGGATTAACTGTGGGGTTCCATCACGATGCTGTGGCAGGAGAAGCATTTCTGGAAGGATTGCTTGTGAACGGTTGGCTTTTGAAATTGGTTACAGATCATGGTCGTGTTGAAAAGTGCATAGGAGCATGGACATTTAGTCTCAGTGAGTAGTAGTTCTTTCCAATTATTGATGCTGAGGGATTCTGTAGTTACAATTGCATTATGCCCTCTCAGTGTTATATTCACCAAAAGAAGAGTTGAGAGCAGCAGCATTTGAATTTTGGTGTTCCATTCTTTTACCTAAAAATCAGGTTTTCATCTCTGCTCCGGAATGAATGATATATCATCTGTCTATTGATGCAAATTTCTTAAGTTATTTTCTCTCCTCATGCTTTGTAAGGTTGATACTGTAAAGTTTGAGATGAAATGGTTGCCGAACCATTCAGAACTTAGACGAGCGCTTGAAGTATATGGCTTTCTGTTGGATTCCCCTTCCAAATCTTCATCCAGCGTGGAAATTGTGGATGGAGGTACACAAATTCCACCATAGGCTAATTTTTCCTGATACCAATAATTGTCCCCTGCAAATCAAGTTTCTAGTCTATGTATATCTTATTTGCTTCATCCATACTTCTATATATTTTTTTTGATGACCTTGGTGTCCGGGCCATCTTTTGCGCACCTTGACCATCTATATAGTAACCATAAATTATTGGCTTGCAAGAAAGTTGCCAAAAAACTACAGGCAAAGAGCAGTGGGGAAAGGGTATATCAGTGTCAGTCTTTCTTGTCTATAGGGTACTAAATCATGCACAAATCATTGTGCATGCATATTCTTCAAATAAGGTTTTAGTTATTCTCTTTACGTATTTGTTGCTAAATTTCCATAATATTTGGATTAAACTGGAAATGTGATAAAATTGGAGCTAAGGCTTCTATAGTGGATAAGAGTGTGCAACGTAATTTATTAATTAGTAAGAGTCTTTATGTTAGTCTTTTAACATTAACAAACTTGGCGTTAGACCTTTAAGAAGGACATACATAGTTTCTTAGGGTCTTGGGATTTCATTACTAGTATAGTGTTATTCAGTATTTACAAGGGCCATATTTCTTACTTGTGTATTACAAATTCTCACAACTTATGTTGTTTCTTAGATTCTGATTCTGCTGGACCGCCTCAAAATATCAAATACTGGATAAAATATGTTTCTGTTTGTTGCCAAGCAAGGTATGTGATGTGCCGTTCTACTTTGGAGCTTTAGTTGTGTTTATAAGATTGTAAACATTCATTTAACTGTGTCAACTGTTAGAAAGTAGAAAAAATTAATACTTGATGTAGAGCGGTGTTTAATATTACTCTGGAACTTACTTTGATCAGAATCATTTAGGTTTTATTGATCCAGAATCATGGCATTATATTAAGTCTCAATCTTTGCTTTTTTGTTTTTTTCATAGGACCAAACGTTCAGTTTTCTCAACAGCGGAGGTAGAAGATTTGATTACCTCAGTGATCTATCTCTTCTTAGATCGGCAATTTATTGGCCTATCTTCAGTGTTGAAGGATTGCTTGCACTCCCTTATTAGCTTCTTTAGTGATGATGCATTCCATTCAAGCTGTCAGAAAATAGCAAAATTCCTCACCTGCAGGTTCTTTGTAAAATCTTTCATTGATTTCTACAATTAGTTTGACTGTGTTCTTAAGTAATTTAGTGCCTCCGACCTTCAATTATTTCTGCACATGGATGGATCTTATTCCTCTCCCACTTAGTAGAGAGAGAGAAGTGGAAAGAGGAGATAAATTTAGTGGAAAAATCAGACAAGTTGCATATGAATACAAACTTGGAACATACACCTTTCAGCTTAAAAGATGCATTTTGAACCTCATTTTTACTGTTGCTATAGAGGGGGCATTTTTTTATATTACTACTGTTGTTTCTTCAACTTTGGTTACATTTACCCTTTTTACTGTTTGTACTTCTCTTTCTTCATTATATTCATCTTAGCTTTTTACACCATGCACTTTTTTTTCCTAACTTGTCTTGAAAATTGATTTTCTTCAGTCGAGGGTCTATTAGAAACAACCTCTCTACTCCACAAAGGTAGGGGTAAGGTCTGTATACACACACACACACACACAGAGACCCCCACCTGTGCGACTACACTGGGTATGTTGTTATTTGTCCCGGTGACTGATTTTTAAATCATGTTCAAAGTTGAAATTGTTCTGTTCTGCCCCTTTTGCATCTTAAGTAATAGTAATTGTTAATTGTTATGCATTCATCTCCGTTTTTCCTTAGAGCTTTATGTTATAGATACCTGTTTCTATGGATCTGTAGATTTAGAAGTTTTATATTCTTTCAATGCTCCTTGCATTAAAGTTCTATGACGGGACAAGCCATTTCTTCAGAGTTCCTACTGATGTCAACTGCTTGAGATCTGTGGAGAGCGTAGCTGGACTGGATGCTCGTTCCAAGCATCTGAGGAGTGTGCTGGCCTTTCAGTTTCTTGTAGCATGTTTTGACGACAAGGTAGCTTTGACGTACTTTTACTATCACTACTACCATTTGAGTATCCTTTCTGCCCCTCATCATGTTTGTCATCGTCATATAATTGTCATGCCAGGTCTTGAAATGTGTTTTCTTCTGCGAAGCTAACAATCTTTGGCATACGTTACCTAAATACTCGTGCAGGTACATGATGAAGAACAGATCTTGAGATCTCTAATCTCCTTCAATCTGAAGGATAAGAATTGTGATCTTCTCAAAATGTATATTCAACTAGTTCTGGCTGAGAACTGGCTGTTGTGCAACTCATTGTTAAAAGATAAACCAATAATCAGTGAGACGTGGAGCGCGTGCCTTAGAAACTGTTCCTGTCAAATCACTATCACAGATTTGAGGTCTTATGCTTCTAAGGTAAACATAATCTAATCCGTCTTCAACTTTTATCATCTTAGCTACTTTTCAAGATCCTCCTGAGGTTTATCGTTTTTGTTAGGTTCGTAGTAAAGCATCATATCTTCTTCAAGGCAACGCCACAAGATGACTCTATCCTAGCGCAGAAAATTCTTCCTACAGTAAATCAGGCTAGTGACAAAGTAACTAACTCTGAGCATAAGAGATCGACATATATTATGTGTAATCTACAGATTTGGATGCTTCATCGACTCGCGATGGAACCAGAAGATTCATCATAGCATCTATAGAAAGTTGACAGTGAGATGGCTGGCCATCTTCAACTGACAATTTTCTGGTAAGCAATGCAGTTTTTGTTAAAGATTGATCGATCCGCCAGGTTCTTTTGTCATTCTGGCTTCTCACTAGATGGCACTGCTTTTACCCTTCCAAAAATTTGTCCAAATGCTCTTTTTTAGTTGGTGAAAGTATAACCTGGATAAAGGTTAGATATGAGTTTAATGTTTGCTGGTATTTTTTTCAACTTTATAACCCAAAATATGAGTTTTTGAGACTTGCACACTGTGCTAAATTGTAAGCAAGATGGAAGACAACAGTCGAAAAATCAAATCGAGCAATAAATTCAGTTTCATAGGTAATTTCAACTAGTGTTTTAAAAGGTGTGAATGCAAGGTCGAGTTACGTTTTAAATAATACGGGGTGTAACTCATAAGTCTTATGGATATTTAATTTTTAATATTTTATAAATAATTAAACAATGAAATATGAAAAGAGATAACTTTGTTTTCATATAGATGAAACTTTTAAGAAATATATGAAGATATGAAAGTGGACTATACAAGTTAAACCTCATTTGAGAAAGAAAATTCCCATATAATTAATTAATTGACACGACACAATAGACAACATCAATAACTATGCATGAATCTCAAATAAATTTGAATCAGTTAAATGAATTTTAACTACTTCATTTAACCTCAATTCATGTCATCATCGCACTAAATAATTAGTTTTAACTACTTATATAGTAAAATGTAAAAGTTCACTTGAGAATTCACACGTATAACAAATAGTATAATTTTACAAGTGAAGTTTACGGAGTATGGTGTATACTTAGCCCTAACTAAAAGTTGTTTCCGATAGACCTTTGGGTTCATTTAGGATAATTTCAAAAATTGATTATTAACCAAATACGCATTTAAAAAGAAAAAATATCGTCCAAAAAAAAGTATGAAATTTTACCATGATTTTCAAAAATCAAAAATATATTCTTTCTACATTTTTGTTAAAGAAAAAAGAGAAGGAATATTAAAAAGAAAGAAAAAAAGAATAAAGGCCTTCGAAATTTGAAAATTAGGTTCGGAACTCAGTCCAAACCAGTTAAATATTAGCTTCGGAAAGCCGTTAGAAGTCCGAACCTAAAAATTCTTTTTATCTTTTTTTTCCTCTTTTCTTTTTCTCTTTTACTTAGTCATTTCTTCTTTTAGATTTCCCTCCTTCAACCAAACCCAAATCAAAACCCCTTTTTTCTCAGGAAAAAGAAAAAAATCAAAGATTTTATCTTTACTTCAAAAAAAAAAAAAAAAAACTAACAAAGTTTTCACCTTTATGTTGAATTTGGGTATATGAAGGTTTGTTTCATAGAAAAAAAATTGTGGGGTTTGAGTTTTGAAGTCATTTCTTGATTACCCAACTTGGGTTTCTTGAATTTTTGTTAAAAAAAAACCTTTCTTGATTGATTTTAGCCATAAGAAGAAATGAAAGGGGATAGAATGGCAAAAAAATCATCTCTTGGAAGCATTGTGAGGAAGAGGTTATCAGATATAACAAATTCTCTTCCACAAACACAGCAAAAATCTCCTATTGATGTCGATAAGGTTTCTCCTGATGTTTCTTCAATGAAGGACTACATTAATCATCTTGCCAAAGTATGGTTCTTTTTTAGCTTTTTTTACTTTATGGGGTTTTTCTGAATTTTATTTTTTGTGATTTGTTTTAGCTTAATGAGGACATGACGTTAGATAGGAGGGTACGGAGGTTATAGAGATTAGGATAGAAGAATAGTAGTAGTAGAATTGCTAGTGTAGTTTCTTATCCTTTGATTTATGTTACTATATGTTGATTCCTTGTACTTCCACTATTGTATTGTTTTGTTGTAGTTTTGTTATCTGTATGTTGTTTGTTGTGCTTCCGTTACTACTTTTGGACCCCTTTCCCTTGAGCCAAGGATCTATTGGAAACAATCTCTCTAGCTTTGAGGTAGGGGTAAGGTGTGCGTGCATTCTACCTTCCCTGGACCCCGGTTTGTGGAACTACATGGGGTATGTTGTTGTAATTTTTGTGATTTGTATGTGATTTTCTGATTTTTGTGTTGTTCTTTGGTTGCTTGATACAGGAAAATGTTGCATTGGTGAAAATTGTTCAAGAAAAGAAGTATGTAATCGTATAAACTAGTACACAGTCTAGAACATGCCTTTTTTATTTTTTTAAAAAACATTGTTACTATCAAGTTGTGTTTGATGTTTCTCTTATATGATTTGATTATGTTAACAGCAAGATTATAGAGCTGAGTGGACTTGAGCTTCAAAAAATGAGGATTCATCTTCAAAAAATGCAATTACAAAACTGGAATCTTGCTCAATCGAATAGTCATATGTTGGCGGTTAGTTTATGTCTTTCTCTTCATAGAAGTGTTAGGATAAACTACTCAAAATTAATTTACGATCCTTTACTGATTAATTTTGCAGGAACTCAATTTGAGCAGAGATAAGGTAAAAATACATTCTTTAAGATTGTTACTTTTAGGGGAAACTAGAGATTTTTGTTAAACAGGAACTATTAATTTGTTTTGTACCAGATGAAATCGCTACAGCATGAGCTGGTCTGCAAAGAAGTACTACTTAAATCGCGGAAGTTAGAAGAGGTAAGGATTTTGTTCTCTCTTAAATTTGTGACAACTTGCTCAAAGAAATATTGATGTATCAAATTTTAGGTGCTTACAATCTTGGTCATGCCTAAGTTCATTTTGGCAATAGCATGAAGTTTCATCATTTTGTGTTTCAGTGGAATATAAGTTGCTTTTAAATGTTCAATTTGGCCATGCCTAAGTTCATTTTGGCAATAGCATGAAGTTTCATCATTTTGTGTTTCAGTGGAATATAAGTTGCTTTTAAATGTTCAATTTGGCCATGCCTAAGTTCATTTTGGCATTAGCATGAAGTCTGATCTTTGAACAATTGAAAACTACTTCAAAAAATTCTGAACTTATACTGAGTTCAGGCGTAGTGTGGTAGCTTTTTCCTCTTAACATGCTTGTAGGGATTGAGATGTTAAAAAATGTTTGGTTTTACTTGTCTGAATGTGCAAAGGAAAAGGTTGATAGTTCAATGCAGACCGCCACAACAACTAATGTGTGCTAAGATATAGATAGTTTATATTTCATGCGACATAATGTGACATCTTCATTACTGTTGTATCATCTTCGTTACCAGTAGCAGCAGCACCATTCTCATGGTTTCTTGTTCGTCTATTGCTGTTATCATTTACTTTTCCTATGCTTCGGTTATTGCATTAGTTCGTTGTTGTTATTGTTATTTCTCTATATGCCATGTACTGCTTTCCATAGCGCTCTTCTTGTTGTTGTTACTGCTTTCATTTTCATACTCTCTTTATCAAATTGGTTTGAGATGCTTTACTCGACCCGAGGGGTAATGTATGCATACACTCTACCCTCATCAGACCCCACTTGTAGGATTGCACTAGGTATCTTCTTGTTGTTGTTGTTGCAACGTGACGTGTTCATTTACCTATTGGATGAGTTGATAAGCTTCTAGCTTCACATTGTGTTGAACAGAGAAAGCATTGTTAGATAATTTCAGAACTAATTACATTTTGTTCGGTACACTCCTCAAGCTGCATATTCTCGAAGCCTTTTTTTTGGGTTTTTCGACACTGATCAGTAGAGGCATAAACTAGTGTCTTCTTGTAGTTGCAGGAACAAGAACAACAAAAGGACAAGCCAACTAATGACTTGCAGGTGTGGTACTTGAACTTCCAATTTGTTCTTTATTACAACTATCAACATTCCTCTATCTTCTTCTCTCACCTAGTAAATTTTTGCATTTTTGACTCTAGGATGAAGAGTTTATGGATATCGACTCTCAATTGAACAAACATAGCAAGCCTAAAAATGGTAACAGACGCCAGCGTGCTACAAGAAGTCAATGTAAATGCTAGTTTATCAACTAGTACATTCTTGATTTTCCAATTTATCTTTGTAATCCCTTAACCCTGTTAAGTTATCTTTCACAGCTATGGGCCATTCAACAACTTCTCAACAAGCTGCAGAAAAAGAAGCAGCAGAAAACAAAAGGTTAGTTCCACATGGGCTTCTACATACGAATGTTAAATAGGCGGAGTTGTCTAAGGAAAACTCAGCATTGTCATTGTATGTTACTCCGGAAATGAGTGTTTCCTCATTCAGAATTAGTAAATAAAGAACTGGTTTAATAAAATATATTGACGTGTGGAGGAAGAACGTATTTTTACTAGCTATATCCAGCAACAACTCTTGTATGTATACAAAAAAAATCATTTTTTCTCTATCTGTACAGTGTGATTTTTCAACGAATGGGGTTATATCATTCGCTATTGCTTGAATTTCAAGACATTTTTTGAACTAATCATATCCTTTACAGGCGATGTTTGAGAAGGAAGTCTACTAATTCCAAAATCCAACAGCCAGAACCAGCAGCAGAGGACTTGTTTGAATTAGAAGGCCTTGCTGTACCCTTTAACAGCCCGGTTCACATTGATGGTTTTGTTCCATCGCCTTTATCTGGCGTTGAGGAAGTGAAACATGACAAGGAAAATGTAGCTCAACTTTCACGAAGGTCTTCTATTGGAAGACCATCGCGTAAAGCAGCTGAAAAGGTCCAGTCCTACAAAGAGATCCCAGTTAACATCAAAATGAGAAGAGCTGCATGAGCTATCTAGAGCTTGAAGAGAATATTTAACTCCATATATGTAATGTAAGCTGTTTTTAATTCTATGTTAACCTGTTTTATTCTGTATATGGATGTATTTAAAACGTTTAATGGCTAAAAACTAGTTCAATCATTTAACTTGGGATCATATGGTTAGTTGTTTCTAAAGAGGAGCAAAGTTTTCCTTCATTCTATATTTCTATATAAGTTTGGTGGAAATGATATCCTCTATGTTTCAATTTGTTTATCTGTTTTGATTTGGCACGGAGTTTAAGAAAGTAAAGGAAACTCCTGAGTTTTGTGGCTTTTAAATTAAGGATATGTAGAATGTACCAAAATGCTTTTTAATCTTGTGGTATTACTCATGTTAGTCGGAGACGAACTAAAAGAGAAAGTAAGATGAAGCATAATCAAGTTCACTAGTCATTTGCTTCCACTTTGGACTACGGAAGTCGATCATTAGGGATAGAATATTACTAGGCAGTCAAGCGTTGTCTAATATTCCTTGTTAGTTTTGTTATTATTATTATTCGTAATATTATCTTATCCTTCAGTTTTAGTATCATTTTCCCCCTTTGCTTCGATAGTGTGTATTCGACTATGTTTTATCGTGAAATCTTCCTTTTATTATACTTTACTTGAGTGGAGGGTCAATCAAAAACAACATCTTTATCTTTATAAAATAGGCGTAAGATTACGTACACACCACCATCAGATAACACCGAGTATATTATTGTTGTTGTATTCTCTCTTCCTTGGCTTGCTAGGCCAGGGTCATGCATAAGATTTGATTTCTTGAAGGTCCATGGACTTACTTGGAAGAATAGTTAACCAAGTCCATAGTTTTCAACTTCTTCTTTTCTTGATTGGTTGTTTTTTATTGGGTAATAAATTTTCATATTGAAATTCGGTCAAGTCTAAATATACTAAAGAAAATTTCACATCGAAGGTAAAGGCTCCTTAAAGAATTGATTTTTTTATATATAAAGCTCACATCGAAACTTCGAGTTAATGATTAAAAACATATCTATCACAAGATTCGGCTAAATTTGAATTCGTACAAAAAAAAAAAAACTCATATAATGTTTCCTAACAAATCCAACTTTCATATACAAAAAAATTAAATTAAAACTTCTAA